GTCTTGCTTACATGGCCACTCGGGCCAACACTGCTGATATATTCACCAAGGCACTTCCGCCTGGTGATCATCAGCGGTTCTATACTATTTTAGGCCTTGTGCCTACTTTGCCTCACTTGCTCACTGCGTGACTTTGCTTGTACTGTGATCTATATATATACCTGCATGCTTACACTTGCTAGGGTATGATCACTGTATTGTTTGTTCTCTTTTATATAACTCTGGATGTGAACTGGCCTTAAGGCCATTTGCTTGTGCTCGGAATGTGTGGTGAGTTCGTGATCCACCCTGAGCTTACGCGGTGCGGACGAAAGTTCAGCTGAGTGGGCGCAACATCAACGATTATCTCATCTTCATAACCCGGGTACCAGCGGAGCAGGCCAGCGGCACCACCGTGTACAGCAACCTGGACTCCAGCATCTGCTGCGCCAAGATCACCGTCGTGTGGGATGACCCGAAGATTGTGTCGGCTGGCAATGGCATGTGCAAGAGCCTGATGTTTTACTCCGCCAGGTACTGCACGGGCCAGCCAGGCCCCACGGTCGCACGTCCTGCGAAGAAGGGCTGTTCCTACCCTGTCACGAAAAGGTGTGGGATGCACACACGGCACATGTGTGATGCACGCCACATCGTGTGGTGCACACCCTATAATTTGTGAATGGAGCAATTGTCCTGATTCGTCCTCATTCTTTGTCTTCCCCATCCTTACTTATCCCTTGTAGTAAGAACAAGCTGTGATCACACTCACTCTTCTTGAAACCCCCAGCCAGCAGTGTCTCCTCCAGCTTGTGGTACCATGCGCGAGGAGCCTGCTTCAGGCCATAGATGGCCTTCTTGAGCCTGCACACTTTGCCGCTCCCATCATCCAACCCCTCAGGCTGCAGCATGTACAGCTCCTCTAGGATGATCCCATTGAGGAAAGCAGTTGTGATGTCCATCTTCTTAATCCTCCATCCGCGATTTGCAGCCGTTCCCAACATCACCCTTAGTGTAGTCCCTTTCCCCACAGGAGAAAATATCTCGTCAAAGTCCTTCCCCTTTGTCTGCTGGAACCCCTTAGCCACAAGCCTTGACTTGTAGCGGGTCAGCTCCCCATCAGGTCTGTACTTGTGCCTGAAGATCAGCTTGGAAGAAATGTCCTTCTTCCCAGGAGGCAGCTCACACAGCTCCCAGGTTTCATTCTCCAGCAGAGAGTCATACTCCTCCTTCACACTCTGCTTCCACTTCTCAGCATCGGGCCCACTCAAGGCCTCAGCTAGCGTCTTGGTCTCAGGGACGGCTGCCCAGTAGCAGTGTGCTATCTCATCCTCATCACACTGCTCAGCCACACTCCCAGCCCGTACCACCTTTGGCTTTCCAAAGCTAGGATAGGTCAGCCTGTTAGGAGGGTGCACATCCCTCCTAGGACGGTCAGGCGGACGTTGGGCACGTGGTGGAGCATCTTGCTGCTGCTGCTGTTGCTCCTCCACCTCAGGTTATCCCCCATCCTCAGTCACCCCAGAGATCTCCTCCTCTGAGATAGTGACCTGCACTTGCCTCGAAGGCCGCTGCACCTCATCAGCCTCAATGATCAGCGGTGTAGTAGGAAGCTTCTGCTGCTGCTGCTTCCACTCCTTGTAGTACAAGGACTCAAGGAACTTCACATCCCTTGACACAGTCAGCTGCTGGCTGGTCAAGTCCCATATCAACCAGCCCTTATGATCCTTAGCAAGCCCCAAGTGTACTCCCCATCTCCCAGAAGCCTCCAACTTTCCCCTCTTCTCCTTAGGCACATGAAACACCACCATGCAACCGTAGGCTCTCAGCATATTGACTGCTGGTGCACTCCCATACCACTTGGTGTAGGGGACCCTCTGCTTGTCCCCCACAGTCGCCAACACCCTGTTCTTCACAAGGGCGACCTGCCGCAGTGCAGTCACCCAAAACGGATCCGGCAGCCTTGCACGCCCAAGGAGAGTGCGAGCACCTTCATGCAGGGTCCGGTTGAACCGCTCAGCCACCCCGTTCTGCTGAGGGTTGTAGAGCACTGTGAGCTGATGCTGGATCCCCTTCTTCTTCAGCACCACTTCAAAATCAGCACCAATGAATTCTCCCCCGTTGTCAGTGCAGATCACCTTCACCTTGTGTCCGCTCTCCCTTTGAGCTCTCGGCATCCACTCCTTAAGAACAGCCACTGCCACTTCCCCCTTAGTCTTGAGAGGGTACACCCACACCACACGTGTGTGGTCATCCACAATGGTTAAGAAGTAGCAGCTGCCCGAGAGAGAAGGGGCCCTCATAGGGCCCACCACATCCATGTGCACAAGCGCAAGCGGGGCCTTGGCTTGTCCTGTACTGCTGCTGAAGGGAAACCTGGTGAATTTAGTTTCAAGGCATGTAGGACAGCTCCCAATAACCTTTGCTGCCCCCTTCACCTCCAACCCCTTCAAGCTCCCATCCTTCACCAACTTCTGCAGCATAGGAAAGTTCACATGACACAGCCTCTCGCGCCACGTCTCCCAATCAGCCTCACCACTCCTAGATGAAGCCTTTGCTCATGCAGCTGTCGCATCCACACCAGCAAGCACCTCACCATGTGGCTGCTGTGTCTGCTGAACCTTCTTGACTGCATCCAAGGCCCCATCAGTTGGCGCAGTCTCCTCTCCTCCCGCAGTTGCTTTAGCCGTTGCTGCAGCCGCTGCCGTTGCTGGTGGTTTCCCGTTCCAAGGGATGATGGGCAGCTGCCATAGATCCTTGATGCAGCTGTTCTTCTCCTCCAGATCCCACAACAACAGCTTCCCAAGCTTTGCACGGCAGCTGGTTGGGCCGAAGGTCACTTTGGCCTTGCTCTTCTGTAGCCGGCGCACAGAAAGAAGGTTAGCGAACAAACCTTCGACCAACAGCACATTCCCCAGCCCCACAAGCCCCCCATTGGCTCCCATTACCTTGGCATTCCCAACACCAATCACAGGGAGCAAAGCGCCTGAAGCGGCAGCCACAAACTTAATCTTTCCATGAGGCTTTACCTCGTCAAGCAAATCTGCCCGTGGGGTCATGTGACTTGTGCAACCTGAATCTATCACCCAGTGAGTGAGGGGGTGCATCGCAACCTTCCCAACTGAGCCCACATCACCCTCACTCCCTTTCACATCCTCAACCATGAGGAACATCCCAAGGTCGGCTTTACCGTGTGCACCATCACCTTGTGCACCTGAACCTTGCACAGCGCCACCTCGTGCACGTTCACCACTTGGCGGCTTCATGCCTAGAGGCGCCTTTCCCTCAGGTCGGCTGAAACACTTGAACCACGGGTGTCCAGCCTTCTTGCATTACCAGCAGGCACCCTTCATTCGGGTGCTCCCCTTGCCACCAGAGCTCCCATGCCCCTCGTTGTAGTCACCTCGACCTCTCCCTCTGCCAAAGCCTCTCCCACGGCCTCGACCTCTCCCTCCCCCTCTTCCTCTGCTGCCTCCTGCAGCTCCATACCCCTCAGCAGTTTTGTTGGCAGCACCACCACCCGTGTGGCGCCTGCGGAAGTCCTCCTGCAGAATCTGCTGCCGTAGCCACTCAGGTGTCCACTGGTCCTGCTGAGTGTTGAGGGTGGGGATGAGTTTGTCCCACGAGTTGTCGAGCACCGAGATGATCTTGGTGCACTGCTGCATCTGCGACACATTGCTGCCCGCCGCTGCCATCCTCGCATAGGTGTCCTTGATCTTGTCAAGGACCGGCTTCACATCATCGCCCGGTCACATGGAGAGGGCAGCCAGCTCCTTCTCCAACACAATCACCATCGGCAGCGTGTTGGGCTGAATCACGTCGCGCAGTAGCTTCCATGCCTTTGGTCCGGAATCATCCAACTCCACCAAATCCTTGATGTGTTGGAACATATCGTTGTTGACCGATTGAAGGATTAGGTCGTACAGCACCTCGCTCTTCTCAATCCACCGATCGCGGACGTCGCCTTCCTCTGGCATCTTCTTTTCTCCCATCGCAAGTTTCAGCAGCTTGTAGCGCTTAAATGCACTCTGCATCCGCCCGCTCCATTCCTCATAGTTGGAGCCATCCAATGCCTCGATCTTGGATGGTGGCGGCTCATTCCTCTTCTCAGCTGCATCTCCACTCCCTTGACTCATTTCCTCTGCTCCCAATCACAGGTTTCAGCCCCCCCCTTGCTGTCCACACAGAAGTCCCACAATAGTTTCACAAGTGTCGGCGCCAACGAAATTTCAGCAGAGTTTCCCCTTAGCGGAAGTCACATGCAACCTCCAGAACTCCACTTAGGCACGCCCACAGACCATGGTGGATCCAGGAGGGTCTTCACACCTCAGTAGACTCTTCACAAAGTCCTTAATCAGCTCTGATACCACTTGTTAGTGACTAAGGACGGAGTCTATGAAGATTAGGGGACGAAATATCTCACAATCGTCAACTATAATTCTGGACAGAAATGGCGTCGTCACAAGAAACGTCGTCGACCAAACACACACTGTTAGAATTCTCTCAAACTCAAGTATGTTGTAGCCCTTGACCGTGGCTATCTTTCCCAATTTGAATAGTATCAAAAATATGGAGTATAGCTTGAGTTATGAATTTCGGCGCACTAGGGGGTATGCTGCCATAGAAACTTAACTCAATCACAATTTACTCACAAGTTCACACAAGAAAGTTAGTGTAGCAAGAACCAGGTAGAAGGGGATGAAGAGGACGAGAGGGAAGGTCCCAAGAGAGTCCCCAACCAAGGGAGGGAAGGCACGGGCGATTGCTCTCCGCCCCACCCCGGCCACGGCAGGGGCAGCGCCGGCAGGTGCAGGAGCAACAGCGCCGGTGGGGGTGGGGCCAGTGCAGCACGGGCAGAGCACAGCAATGGGTGCATGGGGTGGCGCAGAGGCAGCAGCAACAGCAGCAGTAGCAGTCAGATAGCAGCAGGCGCATACCACGCAGATTGCAGCAGCAATGCCCACACGCTCACATGCTCATACCACGCCATCAGCCGCTTGTTCCGTGCCTGCTTCTCTGCCCCTATGCCCCTCTCCTTTGCAGGCGTTGCAGCAGAGCCAGCATCTCATGCAGCCATTCGTAGCACAGGGGGGCTCTCAGCCCAGTCCCGCACAGCCATGCCACCCAGGGTCGTATCCTCCCTCCTCCTACCAACCCACCTCGTATCATCCCACCTCATATCTGCCCACTTCTTGTCAGCCCACTTCTTATTACCCCACTTCCAATCAACCTTCTTCTTATCAGCCCACCTCTCATCTGCCCACCCCTTAGGAGCGAGTGATGGGTCTGAGGAGGGCAGCAGTGATGAGAGCGCACCGGGAGGGGAGAGCAGGCGAGCTCACCCAGGTGTCACAGCAGGCAGGGGCGGCAGGCAGGAAGAGGGGTGGGGGCACGACAAGGATGAGATCTATGAGGATCCTGAGTCTACTGAGGTTGATGAGAGCGAGGACACGGATGATACGGGAGCGAGTGTGGAGGCAGCAGTGAAGCAGGAAGAAGAGATAGTCACCATGGAGGCAGCAGCGGTGAATGATGGAGATGGAGATGGTGTCAACACTTTTGCAGCAGCGGTCGTGGTTAAAGATGAAGCAGTAAATGCGAAGTGTGTGGGAGTTGAAGCTGTGAAAGGGGGCATCATGGTGAAGGGATCAACGGCGAATGCAACTGCAAAGGGGCGAGTGCTTATGAAAGAGGAACACGTTGAGGGGTATGAGACCCGAGAGGCGAGAGGCTCAAGAAAATGTTTCATGGTTTGGATATCAAGGCGCTCAACTTCAAGACACGTAAGCAGAGGTTCAAGGTGCAGGAGCTGCAGGGGAGCGTGAAGCCGACTTAGACCCTGTGAATGCTACAAGGAGCAGGAAAGCAGTGCGAGTGGTGTTCGTGGTTGACGAACCACAGGGGAGATTGTTAGGGTTGGTTCGCCCAACCACGGAACCTACGGCGAAAGCTTCTACGACTGCGGAATGACGGCGAAATGGAAGCACGTGGATGATTCTAGGTGAAACGGTGGAAATCGGCCTACGGTGGAGAATGGAAGCTACGGCGTGAGAAGCAAGAGAGAAATTGGGAAGAAACTAGAGAAATGGAGGAAGAAGAGTGAAGAAGTATCGAGATTGGAGTTGACAAGGGGAAATTGTGGTTCGAGACTGAGGCGTGTTCGAGAAGGTGCTGGATTCGGACTCGAGGAGTGTTCGGCGAATTCGGTTCGGTTCCGTGTGCGACTCGGGGTGAAACGAGGCGCACGCGGTTACCTGGGAAACAAGTGAAGTTACGAATCGCATTTTGTGTCTTGCTTGACTATAAAACTGCTTGTACTCATTCTGGAAAACACAACATTGAAACCATTGAGATTCTGAAAATTGCTGAAGTGTGTATTGACAACTTCAAGCAGAGCTGCGCATATCATTGGATTCGTGAGATCGTGGAGAACACGATAAGCAATAGCAAGTAGACTATTGCCGACTAAGGTGTTTACGATCCTAAGAGATTCAAAGGCAGGAATTTCACAAGCTACAGCAGCAGGTGCACCAACACCACCAACCACAACGACCATAACCATGAGTGGAAGGTACAGCCAAGCTTGTAGAGGGTAAATTTCGTTCATTACGGTTGCCCATACCCATTGCTGTAAAACTTTGACTACACCTATTGGTAAGTATGACCTCACGTTTAAAATCCCTCAACCTTTTTTGAATTAAGATTGGCTTGTAGGCATGCAAGCATGTGTACGAATTGAAAGTCACTGTTAGGGCGTTGAGCTTGACGGCCAGTCCTCTTGCGGTACCGTATCTGACAGGTGAAGTACGACTTGAAAGTAGTACGGAACCGTAATTAGTGAGCGACCCTTTTGAAGAAGGCCCTCAGATTCTAGGCTTCTAACACCGATTCAACCCCTTGTGTGCCTTCTTTTCCTGTGTCTCATTTTGATAATTGATACGGTAGTAGTGCCTCTATACAGTGCAAGATGGCATTCTTTGCTTGTTTTCAGCAACACTTTGCCTGGCAACTGTGGGTTTAGAGCCTTGTGACTCAGCCAATTATAAGCCAAAGCTGGTTCCCACTAGGCACTTCCCAGCCTACAAGCAACAGCATGCAGTTGCTCGCTCCTCCACCAGCCCCTGGCCATCTCACGTCCCTCTGGCGTTGCCAGCTTGCTCCTCTTTGTTGCCTGCCCATCCAACTAGGGTCGCCCATTCTTCACTTGTCCGCCCGCCCCTGTATGGTGAACATAATCAGTTCATAGTTGGAATAGGAGGGGGCAAATGAGGTGAATAGGAATGGGAGGGGGCGAATGAGGTGACTTTTGAGACTTAAAAGTCACTAAGGCCGCCCATTCTTCGCTTGTCCAACGGCCCCTGCATGATGAACATGATCAGTTCATACTTGCAACAGGAGGGGGCAAATGGAGGGCAGGGAAGGCCGCAGCATAAGATGCGAAATGGGACAGAAAGATGGTAGACCGTGCCAGTGCAAAGCACGCTCCTCTTCCTGTAGCCGGCGTCACACATGCAAATACACGAGAAGCTGAATCTTTCTTGTTGGCAACCAAGAAACTGGGCATCGGCAGGGCAGGCAGGCTCAGCAGTGCAGCCTGCTCCTCTTGGTGTGGGCGGCATCACAAAGGCGGAAATATTTTCTGATTCCATACACAAGAAGCTGCCCGGCAGATTCAACGAGCAACGAGCAGACATGCAACGAGCAGCAAGGCACGTACGACGAGCAGCAGCGCGGCAGATCTTCTTAGCCGGGTTGAACACGAGGCCCTCGGGACACTGGCACTGCTGCTTGCCCTTCTTCACAACGCACTCAGCAGCTCCACAATCCTTGTGACACGTGGCTGTTGTGGGCACCAAGAAGGAACAAACAGCACAGGCATGCAGAGACAAGGGGTCAAAAGTAACACTTTTTAGGCACAGGGAGGCGAAGACAGGAATCGTGTGGAAGTGGTTGTGTGTGCCATGCTCCCTCTTCTCGAATCCCTCCCATGTTGATTGTGTCAGAATGAGGCGAGCACATGATAGCGCACTTTGTGACACACCTCACGTTCCACTTCGGGCAACGATAGCTGATTCTAGCTTGGGCTTAACCCTTGTGACCGCACGAGAGCACAGCTCACCAGAAAGATTCAGCCAGTCAGCCGATTCCACCTTTGACTCACTCGCATACCATGCGTGCACTCTTGCTCTCCACCACTCACTCGCTCTCCACCACTCACCCACTCTCATCATGAGAGTCTCATGCGTGCACTCACTCGCTCTCCATCACTCACCGTAGCACTTCTTGTCCTTTTCGTTGTAGGTTTTACCGACGGGGCAGATGCACTCGGCAGGGCTGTTGGGAACAGGAGCCATGTGCTTGCAAACAGCATCTGGCCCGCACTTCTTCTTGGCACACGCGTCTGCAGGGAGGTTCAATACAGGAGGGGAAGAGCTTAAAATTTGTACTCACTCACCCACCCTCACGCACTCACCCACGCTCACACCCACCCACACTCGCGCACTCTGAGCACGCTGAGCGTGAGAACAAGAGGTGGGAATGAAGACGGCGAGAAGCGAGAGCCGCATGCAGGTGGGAAGCGAGGGAGGAGAAGAAAGGAATGGAGAAAGCTACGAAGGAAGAAAAAAACGACCTAATTGATAGGCAACAGCTGAGTCTGACTTAGAGAGGCAATGCGTGAGAGCAAAGCTAACTGATTATACTCAGTCAGTCAGGCGATGCAACACTCATCTGCACTCCCTCGCTTGCCACCACTCACTGTAGCACGTCTTGTCTGTTTCGTTGAAGTTAAGAGTACCATCGTTGCACAAGCAGTAGGGAGAGCCATCACGATTGAAAGTGCAGGAGGCCCTGGACCCGCATTTGATGCCGGCGCACGCGTTTGCTGCGCGAATTCACGCACGGACGTTCGAAACGAAAGGAGCAGGGCAAGGGGGGTTGAAAACAGAAGGGTCACTAGCTACATCGTTGCTCACCAACTTTCAGTTCAAGCACACAGCGACCCAGATGCTACGTGAGAAACAGGGGGAAAGACGCATGAAGGAGCGAAAAGGCAGGAAAGGCGACGTTCATAAGCATGACGGAGGAAGAGATTGGGAAGCACGAGCGAGCACCCTTTGGGGTTGTCATGGTGGTGCCATGCCATGGTGTTCCACCATCATCAGTCAGCCTACTCACCACCAAAAGCGGCGCTGGCGTGGGTCGCGAGGAAGCTGATGGCAACGACACCCACGACGAGTACGGAGAGGCCGAGGCGAGAAACGCCTGAGCGAAGCCAGTAGCGCTCCATCGCGACAGGACAGGAGACGGCCGGGGAAACGGAAAGACGGGAGACGGGGAGGCGGGGATCAGCACCGATCACACGCAACGGCGAAGCGGCTTCGGTTCTTTCGCGTCCGAGTTGACGTGCCGAGCCGTTCCGCGGGCCACGTCGCTGGTGCTAGTCGCAGCGGCAAAGCCCCGCGGTTGCGAACGCTGGCTCTTGAGAAAGGAGCGACCTGTAAGAAGGGAGCTCGACGGCGCGATTCGGAGAGGAGACGAGATGGAGAGGCACGCAATGCCAGCGAGAAGATGTGTGCTTTCTTCTCCGGTTACTGGGCGCGTCTTTTCTGCTGGTGTCGCTTCAGGTGGCCGTCGCTTTAGCTGTCGCAAATATAGCCGCTCAATGCACGACAGCAGATGCCCACACACGAGCTAGGGAATCTTGTACGAGCTGCTGGTGTCGCTGACGACGGTGCACACCCTCTACTATTGCAATGAAACGGATGCAACTATTGTTCCGTTAGCTGCGCAAAGGAAGACGGATGAAGGGTCGAGATCACAGGGTTGGAAAATTGTTCAGTGAATAGAGAGTTGTGAATTTAGGGATGGGAGAGTCGGGATGGGAGGGAAGTGAATGGAAGCAATAGCGACGGAGTCGCGCTCAAATCCTCAGCCTGCTGGGATAATTGTGAGTTCTGACACATTGTCAGACTGAGGGGTTCAGAACGGGAACAAAAACGTAATTCTCGGTTTGAAACGTTGCAAAGCGTTTCATCACGGTTCAAACAAGAGGCACCAATAATTGAGGAACTGTGGACCTGATCGAATGAAACATTGAAGTACCGTAATTTGCGGGGCTTTGTGGCAGAGCATTATTGTCGCGAGGCATAAAGTACACCTTAAAATAGCTTTGTTACAAGGAAAGGCAACCATAAAGTGTTTTCAATAAAAACTTTGCAATTCAGCATTATAATGTCAAAACAAAAAACCTGACTCAGCAACAACTTGAGCATGTATGGTACAACATACCAGCAAGCATGTAAGGTAATTCCTGGTACACACATTAATGACTCCGCCAAACATCAGCCATAGATGTTACCTACCAGGAACTTCTTAGCCTCCAAGCAACGGTCTTCACTTCTCCACCGGCCCCTTCATAGTCAACATTATGGGGCGTATCTCAGTTCGTGTCATAAGGCCACTTTGGGTCATGCGCAATTTCCGCATGACCCAAACTACTGAAAACGCCACATTGGGTCAATCCGATCTCCTACGACCCTCAGAGTGTCGTGCGGCGTCGTTATGCAAAATCGCTCGCCAAAGACCAGTTGCCTCCAATGGCAGGAAGCCAAAACCGTTCGCAAGATCATGAGTGACACCCACGCAAGACCACGCGACACCCACCGAAAAAAATATCAATCGTCCAAAATTCCCGGCGTGAATCCCCAGATGTTGGGAGCGTGCCGCGGGAAATTTTAGACATATCGAGGGTCACTGGGGTTAATTTGCCGAGTGGTTAGGTGCAGGGGTGTAGGACATGGGACACTGCCCACTTGTGACACTCGATTGACGACC